GTTGGAAATTCCAATGAGATCCAGGGTTCCAGCAAAATACCGTTTGAAGAAAGCATTTAATAGGATACGTCTAGGGATCAGGGTCGGGATCTGTTCACCAGATGTTGCGTTTTCCATCGTTCGACCAATGAAATTCAACCAGCTTCCTGGAAATCCGGTGTTTCCATTGTTGCGTGAAAACCTTAATGGAAACCATAATGGAGAAGTAGAAACGAAATGAATTCATTAACGATGGAATTTCAATTCGATTCTTTTGCTTAATTTTAATTTTGTAATTTTACATTTTGTTCTGTACATATCTTTAGAATGTATATATTTTTTAAAAAGGTAGTTCAATTTAATTGTATTTTGCTTATTATATTATATGTATATTTTATCTTTTGTTTTGATTCTGATGCATTGAGATGTAAAGTAATAAGTTTTTGAATTTTTATAGAATTACGTCCAAATTTTATATTTTAATATTTAAAAAAGTAACGAATTAATGTCTTTCAATGTTTCATGATCTTTTATCATAATAAAGTTAAATAAGCAGCAATCCTTTTTTTTTATGATTAGATAAAAATCTATTTTTAATAGGATAAATTGAAATCTTTCACACAAGATTCTGTGAGTTTTTATTGGTAAAATTTTCAAAAGATTATAGTACTGAAATACTGAAAATTTCCATACAAATTATAGTAAATAAAAACAATTCTTCTTCAAAACAATGATTCTTCAAAACTTGTATAAGCAACTCAGATTAAGAAACACTGTGATAAATAGCTGTTAGCTTGAATCAAATTCATATTTAGATAGATTGAATTGTAATTAATAATTAAGAATATCAAGAAGAAGATAAGATAACTCAAGTAACACGTGGAAAAATTTTATTTTGTTATTCCATTTAAAAGAAATCTGTGTAAGAATCTAGAAAAGATTCTGAGAAAAGATTGAAGAAAATGAAAAAAGAAAATTTGAAAAAATTAAGTCGTAGACTGAAAATTTTTATGCAACTTAGATAGAAATTTGCATTCTTCAAATATTATAATATTATACATTTTGAATATTTTATATTTTTTAGCATACCATTTATATTTGATAAGTTTCTGTATTCAAATTTTGCATCCAATCTAGTCTTAACAATTGAATTGTAATTTTTCATTAAAATTATCATTTTTGAAAAAAAATTCAAATTTAGAATTGATGTATATAATCATATATATCATATATAATTGATGTATATAATGACGTGATTAATAAAAATATATAACACCCTTTGAAACATGGCAAAATAAGAAACGAGAAATAAAGTGGTTGGAATCAAACAAATAAATTTATATACATATATATATTTATTTATATTTTGAACAACAATCGATTCTGAACAGAACGAAATAATATTTTCAACAAGTTCACAGATTTGTTATTATAATTGTAATCAATCAAGATATTCTATTTTCCTGATTAAGATAAGATCATCAGAATTAATTTTATATTTTAATCAAAGCTCGCTTTAATCCAAATTTAATAAAAAATCGTGATTTATATATATCTACTCGACCATGAATCGATTTATAGAAATGTTATTTATAGTCCATTTTTGTTGAAAATGTTTTTGGTCTTGAAACAATCGTAATCAAAATGATTAAATCATTCAGATTATTATGTGTAAATATGTTCTTAATTTTAAATTTGTAATTCTGAAGATAAATTAAATTTTGTATATTATTGCTTTATATTAAATTTCTATTAAAAATTATAATTTAAAAGAAAAGACTAAGTGAAATAATCTAAATTTATTATATTTCTATTTTTTATTATAGCATTGTTTTATTTAAAAATAACTTAGATTTTTGGAGCTCTTCAAAATTAATTTTTAAGGAATTTTGGAAAAATCTATGGTAATCATACATGGAAAATATTATCACAAAGAAAGATGTGTTCCAATAATAATAGGAAATTTTACATACCATAAGATATTTTCTATCATATCTGATAAATGGAATTTTTTACCATCTAATTCCATCCAAAAAAGACATTCTCTTTTATTTTTGTCTGCCTTCTATCCCCTTTGTACACGTTTTAAAAATACTCGATTCGCTCATGAATCGTCTGTCTAGCCGTCACACTAATCTGACTTTCTGAAACTTCACAATCATTTCGATTTTCAATCTTTTTACACAATATAATTATTTCCAAAAAGGAAATTCGAATTCACAAAAGAAACATGTCAAATTAAAGTAAAATTAATAAAACTGTCTGTCAGAGAAATAAAAAGCTTTGCTCATTAATCAAAAATAATTTTTAACATGTTCAAGTATATTCAAATAATATATTTATCAAATAAATTTTTATAAAAAGTTATATTTTTGTAAAATTTTTTTTTTCTTTTATTCTTTTTTGAATATTTAAATAACTTTTTTATACCAGATTAAAAATTCTTTCTTATCTGATCTATACTATGTTTATATAATATATTTTATTTTAAGATATGTTCACTTTATGTGCACTGATTCTAGATATAAAGTATAAAAATTATATAAATTCTTTCAATAAATAAAATAAACAAAATTCCAATTAAAGAGAGAAAGAGAAAGAGAGTTCCTTGAATTAAAAAAAAAAAAATTATAATCTCAAGGAATAGTTGCACGAACATTGATTCTCGAACTGGATTAAGAAATTATATAGTACGTGATTGGAAAAAGACCAAAGTATGACACGAACGAACAAAGACTCGCTTATGGGTTTCGTTTCGACGAGTTGATTTCTCAAAATTCCACCACGTGCGAGTTCCCGTTGTCTTTCAACGATCGAGAAAAAGCTCGATGATGAAGAAACGAGCAGGCAAAGAGGAATTGTTGAAAGAAACGCTTGCAATAATGACTGTTTTTTCTTCTGCTCTTTTATCGATTCCTTTCTTTAGAAGTGAATTTTTAACGGAAGAAGATTTTTTTTTGATTTTCAAAATATTTTTATCAAAATTTCGAATAAGAAAGTAATAAAAAAATAGAAAATTTTTTTTTTCAGGAAAACTAATGTTAAAAGATAAAGACTTGAATATTTTTATAAATAAACTTGAAAATTACAAGCAAATATTCAAATCTAAAAATTTAGATATTTAATTTAAATTCAGGAATTTATATGTTTTTATAAAAAAGTAGCATTTGATTTTAAATATTAAAATTCATTAATAATTTACTCGTGAGTAACATAAACACTTTCATCGAAGAAAAATTCAAAATTTGAGACACCATTGCCATATTTATTTTACTAACCTCAAAATCTCGCTCTTGCTTCATAATTCATAAAAATATCTCAGAATGGAATCAAAAAAACAAGAATTTCATTTTTTTTCGGAATTTTTACATTTTTCAATTATTCTCTTATATTTTTATTTTGGAAAGGAATAAAAAAAATAATTATTAATTGATCGATTACGATTTTGATTTTGAAAAAAATTTCAAAATTTACTAAAATTTCTTAAAAGTTCTTAACGAAGCAATACTTTTTATAAAAAAAAATAATAACAATAAACATTTTGAATTCTAAGAGTTACAAAATTTCATGAATCTAAAATTTAGCTTTTTTATTTCATCTCTCCTAACCAAAGGAACAAAATTAAAAATAAGCTTCTTCCTCTCGCGAGATACGATATATACATACTTTCTTACGATCAAGACTCGTCATTTTTTTCAACTTCTTCCTTCGACCTTCCACTCATTTTTTTCCTCTCTTTTACATTTTTCATTTCATCCTCGAATTTCTTTTTTCCCCATTCCTGTAATCATTTTTCTTTCTCCACTCGGACGAAAATATCCCCTCTTCACGAGCTTTCCCTTACAAATTCAAACTGTGCCCGAAGTAAGCATCGAGAAATTTGTTTCCAAGCCTTTTTACACATTTTTGGACATTTTTACATATTTCATATACGCGAGAGGTGGAATGAAAAAAAATAGTCGAAGCGGGGTGGGGGAGAAGAACGAACGTTCGACCGCTATACTTAATCGCACAGTGTCGGTTTCCGTGTATTTTTAGCATTTTTCGCTTTCATCCTCCGTGGAATCGCGACGACGATCGCTATCCACGCGATTCTACCAATTTTTCACTTCATGAACTCGCTTTTAGCGCCTTTTCCTTCCTTTATGGGCCTCTTCTCGAAATAGACATTCTTCTCGAGGTCGTTGTACTATACAAAGAACGTAGTTCTTGGTTGTATTACCTTTAGGGTAGTGTTTTCAACGTTTCTCGAGATTCACCTTTACGATGATTGTAAATTAATATTGTGAATGTTGTCAAAAAATGTTATGATTTATACTTTACATAATTTAATTTACAAATGTATTTTTAAATGGATAAGTATGTAATGTTTGTTTTTAGAGGTAGTTTGTTTTTAGGTTTTGATGCAAGATGGAAATATTAACGAAATATTAAAAAGTTATTGTGTTTCTTCTTTTAAGTTAAATTGAAATAAATAAATGTTGAAAATATAAATGAGAAGTTTTATTCTTTCTTCCTCAAGTTTACTGGAAAGAATTTTTAATATCTTTATTAATTTTGCTTCGAAATAAATAAACAAATTTATATATCTGGATTAAAAATTTCTCTAAGAAAATTAACAAAATTGTTGCTTTTGATCATTGATAAATCATTGATAAATATAACTAGGCCACAATTTATAATTAAAAATCAAACTATTTCAACAATGGATTCAATTAAATTTCTTTACATCACATTTTACATCATTTTATAAAATTATTCTTTTTTTTTCTTCATTGTGGATATTGTATTATTGTGCTTCGATTTGTCATTTTATTTGTAATACAATTTATGATACTTTGTTATTTATATATATCATTTTCTTATAAATATATGTATAGAATAAGAACAAAAATAAAATACGTGTCTGAAGGTACATATAATGCTCCCCAGATAAAATCTATTAAGTTATTAGAAAAATCCGCTCGTGCCACGTTATACTGGTTAATCCTGTACGAGCCAACACGATTATAAGTTCTCACCTAGTCGAACCAGCTGTCCTTGGGTAGTTCGATCGATCTCCAGCATCAGGAGTATCCCAACGATGAGACATTTTACAATCGCCATCCCGACTTCTTCGACAATAGGCAAGGGTATCTAGTGGCGCGGCATGGATGATTTTCTGTAACAAAAAAATAAGATTTTATTAAGTTCTTAAAATTTTCAATTTTAATCTTAAAAAAAAAAACCAACGATCGAAATACAAAAAAGAATTATATAATCATATCGAAAATTAAAAGTCAATCTCTCCAAGATTTTCTCAAGAATTCATTTTATTTTCACAATATTTTTTTCATTGATATTTTATTGATATTTATTTATCTTATTTTTTATTGATCAGTTTAAGAACCAAATTATAAAAATTATATCATTTTAAATTCAAAAAATTCACGATAAATTTCATATTATCTATATTTTAATATAATAATATAAAAATTTTATAAAAAATTTTCATCAAATCTTGCATCAATTTAGATATCAATATTACAATGTATTCAATGTATTAATTCCAAACACTATTTTAAAAATTAAATTAAAAACCAATTATCTCTCAAATTTCACACTAATCTAAATTTCAATACAATAATATAAAAATTCTATAAAAATTACTCAAAATAATCAAATCTTACTTTAAATATCGCAATCGTGTCGTTAACATTTAATTTGTTAAATTTAATGTAAAATTAAATTTCACGAAAAATTTCACCATTAACATTCAATTCGAATTTCACTATTTTAAGAAATTAAATTGAACACGTTCCCCAGAACGAAATCCAGCTATTACGCGTTCCCTTAACCCTAATCTGAGCCTCTGAAGAACAGATCCCGCGAGGGGTTCTCGAGAGTGCGAGTGGGTTACGGTGCATCACGGTTGATCTATGGGGTCGAGTGCAAGGATGCGCACCGGACGTGTTCTGGCGTTCGAAAATTCTCTCGACGCGGCCATGTGTTCCTTTTCTAGCCCCGAAACCGGCTAATACCAAGGTCTATTATACTTTATGGGGCGGGAGCGCGCCTCTTGCACCCGATAGTGCAACTCCATAAAGCGTCTCGCCGTTTTCGATCGGATTTATGACGATTCGCCACACGCGCCGCTTTGGCGAAAATGAAATAGAAAGAAAAAAAAAAAAAAAAAAAAAAAAAAAAAAA